GGTCAGAACGTTAAGATGTTGAACTATTGTAAATTCATTTAAATGAATTAATTTCAGAAATGATAATTGCGTGCCGATATGGTTGTCGGACTTTCAACGCAATCAAATCTGAAAATATTAATAATCCCCCCAAATTCCCCAACTTAAAAACTGTAATAAAACTTATTGCGAAAAATAATGCCTCGGCCGGGAGTCGAACCCGGATCTCTTGCAAAAATTAATTATTAATATTTCAGATTTGATTGCGTTGAAAGTCCGACAACCATATCGGCACGCAATTATAATGTCTGAAATTAATTCATTTAAAATGAATTTAGAATAGTTCAACATCTTAACGTTCAGACCGTTATTGGCGCTTCTTAGTTTAAAGTAATTCATTTATTGATATTACAGTGTAGGCAGTACAATGTACGTAATTATAGCTAAATCTAGTATCTATTATATAATATGAACAGTATTATATAACATCTCATAAAATTTAAATACTATTTCTAACAATATTTAAACTGGCAGTGTCTAGATACAGTATCTAGATACTTTTACCTAGATACGTTCCAACACTGAATTTATATGATTGAACAGCTTTAACAATAAGAATATCGGTCTTTAATTAGTATATCAGCGCACAGGTACTAGTATTAGATTGCTAATTTCTGAGTTGATTTAGTATGCTTTTCAACAAGCGACACAGATGACACGATATGAGGCACAGTGTACCATTACATCCTTGTTGTTCATCAATAGGCCTGTTCTTTTTAGCTGAAATTTTGCACCAGTTCATCTTTCTTCCTCTTCTTCCCTCCTGGAGAGAAAAGGAAGAAAGATGAACTGGTGCAAAATTTCAGCTAAAAAGAACAGGCCCAATGTTAAACAAGGATGAGATGATCACTGTGTTATACTGTGTCGCTTGTAGGAAGGCACTCTTAATGGCAGCGACAGTATTTGTGTATAAATATCTTGTATCTATGTATCTAAAACTTAAAAAATACCGTATCAAAAAGTAACTAGATACGGATATAGGTATCTCCGCTTATAAGGATCTAGGTAATGCACTTAGGTACAGCTAAAGAGTATCTAGATACTGTATTTAGATATTTTTACCTAGATACGTTCCAACACTGACTTTTCTCATACAATACCTATATCTATATCTAGATACCTTTCAAACGGTATCTGTTCCATGTTTATGCAACACTGCATAAATTCATTATAAACTATATAAATACTCTAAAATCGATTTTAGGAATTCATTATAAACTATATAAATACTCCCAAAATCGGTTTTAAGATTCGAATAGAACATTTATAATATGATTTATATATACATACATATTTGAATTATATTAAAGTTATGATAGATATATCATAACAAGAAAGCTATAAATATGGAAATGGAGGGATATCGATTTGATCGTACAAGTAACCACGAATTACGACAAAAATTTTTGAAAAAAAATTCAATCGTGACTTTGAAAATACTTTCTAAACTAAAACACGTGAAATCTTACACACGCGAGAAAAAAAAGGTAATATGAAAGAGTGCGATGACATCACGGGCGATTAACTTAACAGAAAAAAGCAGGCAAATAAACTAACGCACCCTTCTCGCGCTTCTCCACGACCACCGAAGACGAGGTGTTAGCATTGTACAATACCTCGCTGGACTTTCAAAAATCACTGCGTCGCTCTAACGAATCACAATTAATTCGGTTCAGATACTCTCGAGCGAGAGTTTATCGCAAGGTATATTGAGATTCAAAGGGAATTTTGACCTTTATGTCGCCGTAAATTTTTCAAATTGATGTGTCGAGGAAGGCAATGTTGTGTTCTTTCGTTCATCGATGGACGAGCGATTAAGCGTTGACCAACAAATTTTAATGTTTCAAGCGCCAGAAGTAAATATTAACTTCCAATGGAGACTGCCTCGATACTTATTTTATATATATAGGAAACTGGAGCACACACCATGAGTCACAAAAATTTAAACTCTTGAATATGCATCAAAATATAAAAATTTGTGTATTATTTTTTTTTAATAATTAAAGCATAATTCATATTTTAAAATTTAATAAGTATATTTAGTAAATATTTATTAATTTTTAAGAAAAAAATAAAAACATATTTTTTGAGAAATGACCCATGGTGTCCCGGTTTCCCTTATATGTACATATTTGTTGTGACGATCATATTACTTGTGTTACATTATTTCGTTGACCGCTAAACGGAACTACGGAAGAACACAACCTTCCTTGACACATCGATTCAACAAATCATCGTAGAACGTCAAAATTCCTTTCGGATCTCAATACACCTTGTAATAAACTCTCTCTCGAAAATATCCGAAAGGAATTAATTGTTATCCATTCGAGCAACACAGTGATTTTTGAAAATCAAGCGAGGTACAATATTAACGCCTCGTCCTCGACGGTCATCGAGAACCGCGAAAAGTGTGCGTTAGTTTATTTGCCTGTTTTGTTCTGTCAAGTTAATCGTTCATGACGGCATCGCAGTCTTCATTAATTTTTTTCTTACGAGTGTAAGATATCGCGTGTTTTAGTTTAGAAAATATTTTTAAAGTTGCGCTTGAAATTTTTATTCAGAAACTTTTATCGTAACTTATTGTTATACGAATAAATCGACATTCCTCCATTTCCATATATATCACTTTCCTGTTACGATAAGTAAATTAATATCGTATTATTTAATATAATCCATATATATATGTTGGTATATATATCATAACATAAACGTCATATTCCAAATTTTTAAAAAATAAATGTCAAGAGTATTTATTTTATTCAGAAATTAAAATGTGGAAGAATTAAGAATTCGATTATATTAGAGGGTTTGCGGGTTATCACCGTGTCTTCTTTCATGGTCGATACCATGGCCAAGCATCGACCATGAAAGAAGACACGGTGATAACCCGCAAACCCTCTAATATAATCGAAGAAGATAATCGTGGAAGCCTCAAATGCGTAATCAAGAATTAAGAATTTAGAGAGCTTAATAAACACGGTAGATTCTCACTTCTTTCCGTGTTAAACTGGAATTGGATACAAGGATAGTGGTGCGTGATGGATTTCTAGGTTTAGGACATGCTTCCTCCCTGTGATATAGGAGAGCGGGGGAAAGCAAGGCTCACGTGGGCAGGGGCACTTCCCTGAAGTGAGTTTGTCCCTGCCAGGACCACAGGGAGAAATCCACCCGTTACCACAATTAAATCACTTACATAACTTTTTATGAAGTAAACTATTATTTCTCGTTTCTGACGTCACGGCGGCTGCATTCGGGGAGACATTATTAGCGCTATTTGTGTCATTCTATCTTCATAGTCCATTAGACGTGAGACAAAGATTATAGTATACTTTAAATGGCACTGATAACGCGCTCCTCGAATGCACTCTCAATATGGCTGTGATGACTACTCAGGAGCCTTAATAGCAACATGCAACTATACAATAAGTGATTGATTATATAAGTGGAACGTTTATATTATGATATATATATATATATGTATATTATATTAAAGAACGATATTGATATAACATAACAGGAAAGTTATAAATATGGAACTGGAGGGTTTAATTATCGTACAAACGATAAGTTTCGATAAAAATCTCTGAAGTTTCTATTTAAACGGCTATCGCTCCGTTTTATTAAGTTTCTATGTAAACGGCTAGCAATCCGTTCTGACTTATATCTGTGATATCGGCTAGAAGTCCGTTCTATCACACTTTGGATATAAAAACGTTTCTTTTAACTGAAATTACTTAAGATGCCTTCTATTATGTTACAGAGTCATATAATTAACGCATAGAATTAAATCATTTTTATTTTTGCGAACTGTGCTGCTTGCTATTAAGAATATCTTTTTAAATTAGAGACTTTCGCTATATGTATTTCCTTAATTTCGAAATAAGATCTCGAAACTAAAAACTGGATTTAGGGGTTTCATTTATTCATATTTTTTAGAATTAAGGTTAGTAAGTTAAGTTAAATAAAAAATCCGGCAAATACATCTCGTTCCTTGTTTCTTATCACTCTTATTGCGACTAGAAAAATTAAACGGGCCATACGCGCCTGGAATTCATTAACGAATACTCATACAATTTTTCCGCTTAAATAACCTTCGCGGCATTGCACGGGAGATCATTCTCAGAATGTGATCCACTTAACGCTGCAAATACTTCGTTGACCAATTAGAAGAAAGACTTTTACGAATTGACCAATCAAAGAATGCTTCAAAGCATTTGCAGCGTGAAGTGGCTCACATCCTCATACATGCATGAACTAGTTTCACGCGTTACGTAAAACATCTGTCATAGCATCCTAAAGCTTAGAGTGCGCACCATGTGCAAAAGTGACAGATCGACCTCGCATCCAAGCATCGAAATCGCTTAGATGCACTTGTTTGTACAATAATGTCAACCTCATGAAATTGTATATGGCAGTTGCATAATAGGCAGTTGAGAATTTACAAATGTAAATTTATTAATATATTCAATCCAAGTTTTCCTATTTTAAACTAAATTGCTTTTAAGTTATTGTTCTTCTCGCTTACTTCACATGTCTTGTTAAAATAAATAAATTAGATATATACAAATATATCTACATATTCAGTATTAAAAGGTAAATAATTAAGAATATGAAAAAGAATTATTACAAATAATAAGTAGAATAAAAAGAAATGTGCATTATCTTATTGCAATTAATCTGGTCCATACTCATTCGCTTTTTAATTATTGAATATGTATTTTTATATATATTTTTTCAATAATTTCGAATTCTTATTAGTATTTCTGATCATACTATGTGTGTCTCGATTGGTCAAAAAGTTTCCTTTTACGGCAGATAGAAACATTTTCATCGGACATAGCTCAGAAATCTTGAGCAGTTTTAAAAATGTTTTTCACGCTTAACAAAATGATGCGCAGTACAAAGCAACGCGTTAAGCAAGAAGAATGATATTGCATTTAACCGAAACTGGTTATCATCTCTTACTGCATAGCATATCTGGATGGATTGAAGTCCTTATTTATTATGGAGAAACCACGAAACTCTTCTTGATCGATGACGAACGATCCGTCTGAATCCGACGTTAACACAGGATCCTCTGTTGTAAATATTATATCAAAATTCAAGGCTTCTTTTTCATCTTTCTAAAAATTTCGAGGAGTAGTTATGTAACATAATCCTATGTTATTTAGTATTTATCAATTAGAATAATAAAGCGCGAGACTCACAATTTTAGGTTTGAATGGAGGTTTTACTTTACGCTCTTCGAGAGCTTCCCAATCTAGATGTTTGAAAAATGGATGGACTCTTATAGCATTTTCGCCACCATCGGCTGCAACACAGCCTAATCGTTCGGCAGGATTTTTGGTCATAAAAGCTTGTATAACAGACATCGCCTCTGGAGAAACCCACTCTGGAAATACTAAGTTATTTTGCAACACTGCTTTGAATAGTTCTTCTTCACTTTCGGCTTCAAATGGTCGTTGTCCAGCGACCATCTCGAATGACAAAGCACCAAGAGCATACCAATCAACACTAGCACCATACGGCAATTCTTGAAGTATTTCCGGAGCTATATAGCCATGCGTACCACAAAATGTTAATGTTGTTGTTTCTCCCTCAATTATATTATCTTTACACATTCCGAAGTCCGTAAGTTTACAATGTCCTTCTGCATCCAGCAGTACGTTTTCCAGTTTCAGGTCTCGGTATATAAAGTGATGTTTATGCAGAAACTGAAGCGCTAGTGTCAGTTCTGCTATATAGAAACATGCCGTCGGCTCTTCGAATTTTCCAGCCTTCTGGATGTGGAACATTAGATCACCTGAAACAAATCAAGAGATAATAGCAGTATTCAAATAAATAGAAGATACCTTTCACATTTTATTCTAAAATGACAATTTGTACCTCCTTTCACATATTCCATAACGAAGAAGAGTCGCTCAACCGTTTGGAAACAACTGTGGATAGTCGTTAGGAAAGGATGTTTTGATGCGAGCATTAAAATCTTCTTTTCTACCTTGGTGTAGTCTACATCATCATCTTCAATAATGAAACTTTTTTTCAAGACTTTCACGGCGTAAATCTCATTGGGATTACTTTTCAGTTCGGCTAACATTACTTTACCGAAACTGCCTTTACCGAGAACCTTAATAAAATTCAAGTCATGCACACCAATGTTTTTTATATTGCTATTTTTATTGTCTTCGTTAGATGAATCTCTTAAACTTAACTGCGAGTCATCTTTGGCGTAAGCTGAGTCTCTTTGATCCAATTGCGAATCATCTTTGACGTTAGTTGAGTCGTTTTGATTTGAACAACTTGGGCCCAATTCGTCTGCCTGATCATCTCTTAAAGATGTTTTTATAATTTTAGTTTCCTTTCCTTTTTTTCTCCCATTTCTATCTTTTTTAAATTTTTTATCATCTTGATTTTTTGTCTTATTTTTGTTCTGATCAGCGGCCGGCGTTGACGGGCATGATATAACTTTAGTCTTTAATGGAAGCCTTTGCTGGCTCCCACCAAAGTTTAATTTTTGAAGGCTCTTGGCCTTAGCTTTCGGGGTACAACTGGACATTACGTTTTTATAACAATGTTCGTGAACATTCATGTTACAAACTATAAAAATAATACAACGCAATTTAATGGATTGACTTAATAAAAATTTTAATAGAAATATAAACAGTATTACGTTACCATCGCATTTCAAGCCTTGTTTGAAGAAACCGCACATTAAGGATCCGCAGTGGTCACAAAATGTCAATGTTTTTTTATAATTATGAGGATTAAAATGATGGGGAACGTTTATATTGAAGCGTGCTGTTGCCTGCGTGATTTGGATTCCCTCTTTTCCTTCGACTACAACAATCTAATCGAAAAAATTTTAAAAATCACAATTTAGGAAGAAATAATGGTAAATATCTAGTTTAGGTGACACCTCACCGATTTCAATGTCCTTTAGATATGTTGTAGGGGAGAGTGTCCTGAGTGATTCTCCACAAGAATTAAGTGGAGGACGGCATTGGTTTAGGAGACATAGTAAATTAAAGTTTCATAATTTGAACGACTTTCCACGCGAAACGACTCCCACCCCACCTCCTCCCTCTTTAGAGGCGCACGACTTCCTGGCTAAGCGATTTTCACTCCACTTCCTCCCTTCAGGGCACACAACTTTCCAAAGAAGTATGGTAAATCTCGGAAAGTCGTGCGCTCCGAAGCAGGGGGGGGAGGTGAGATGGAAGTCGCTTCGCATGAAAAGTTGTATGCTGTAACTTTATTACGAAACTTTAATTTACTATATCTTTTAAACCAATGGCACCAATACCGTCCCCCACTTAATTCTTGTAGGGAATCACTCAGAACACTCTCCCCTATAACATATCTAAAGGACATTGAAATCGATGAGGTGTCACCTAAACTAGATATTTATCGAAATAAAATAAATAGATATATTATTAATAAATATGGTAGATAATATTAAATAGAAATAATAAATTATAATAGGAGAATAAAATCAAGATTGGTAACATAAAGAAATTTTTTTGTACACAAAAAAGATGTAAATATTGTTATTATATTGTGTACGCGCAAATGTATAACTCTGATTTAATCATTTAATCGTAACCTTACTTAATCACTGTTTTTTCTCATAATAAATGTACAAATAAGATTTCTGATGATAAAACAGTAATTAAGGAAGGTAAAACCCTTATTAATATACTCTTAGAACAGCCAAATTATTGTCGAGCCCCTGGGACTCCTTTGATAATCACAAAATTTATCCGGAGTTGATTTTAATAGTATCTCATCAGTGATAATGTCAATTAACAATATGTAAATTACTTGTGATATTTCTATTATGTCACGTCATTATAGAAATAACTAATAAACATACCTCTTCTTTCACTACTGAACAATTAGTTGTCACCCAGTTATAACATTTTTTGTGGACTACACGCAAGCAACCTGAAACAGCAATACATAAAGTATCCTCTTATAAAAATGCTCACTTCCATGATATAATACAGCATATCCAAAGCTAGCTGCATGCGTGATAAGACGCATCCGAAAATTATTTACAGTAATACCATAAGCAGAAATAAAATTGAAATTTACTTCATATTATTCTCAATATAGAGTCAGCAGTAGTTTCGATACTAAAAATAATACCAAGCTCTAAGATAGCATATTTGGAATTTTTATTGAAGAACAACATGTAATAAACCGAGAAACTATTTAGCTACAAATCTAAATTGTATCGAAACAAATGAAACAAAATCGAAAGAAAGACAGAGACCTAGCTAATATATTAAGAATAACAATCCTTACGTTACTAACTAATATAGCAATAAGTTAAGTAATAAAATATTTAATTATGAAGCAGAATTAATACCAAGACGGTCATGTGTACTAGTCGTAGTGAATAGAAAATGCATAAATTGACGCGACGATTATAGAGCGTCATGGTAGTTACGAATGAAGCATTAAAGGAATAAAACGTTAAATCGATGAAATAAGAGTCTTAATCGTGATTTTTCTCGTCGTTAAACTACACATTCGTAACTGCACACATTCATACGTAAGGGTGCGGCAAGCGGATACATAATTAATCTGTTAATAACGGTATATGTGTCTTCTCACCTCGACATTTATACATGCCTTGTTGCTTGCCAAAACCCCTGAATTATAACAGACAAAACACGTTACATCGTATCCTCATAATCCTTCTACGATATATAGAGGAAAGCCTCTTATTATGAGATAGGCGCCTAATATGAGATAGTGGCGTTTCCGCTAAACTAATAAACGCGCTATCTATTGGTTCTACTACGAATTTATTGCTCTTGGATTGAAAACTATTTAGTGGAAAATTCATTATTAGATCATGTCTATAGTCGTTGTAAAAAAAGATTTTAGAATTTGAACGTCTTCAAGTTTCATTGAGATGAGCCTTTAAATCTTGTTTATTATTTAATAAATAAATATTTAGCAATAAATTCTTTATGTAGTGATAGAGTAAGATCGTATTAATAGAAAAATACGGGATATATTGAATTGCTTAATTACAGAAGTTAAATTTGATGATCGTAAAACCGTAGAAATCGTAATATGAGATACCCAGGGTATTTCTAATATGAAATAAAACCTATGCTCCTATGTCATAGTGAAAATCATTGCTAAAGTATAAATGTTATTGTACACTAGGCGTCATTGATGCCTTCCAGATTGAAATTTATAATTTCCTTCGATCGTACATGTCATATCTATGCACTGTAAAAAACAAAAAATTTGCTTCCATTGCATGTAACTAGTGTACAATAATAAAAGAGACTACCGGAATGAACATCGAGTACTTGTTTCTGCGATGTTTGGTTCCAACTACCTGAAGACGAGTCCTAGGTATAATGCATTGCATGCTCATTTTGTACGCACATTGACTATGTTTGTTTGTATTTACAGAAACATTGAATAAAGTTTTTTAATTGCAATACTGATATAGGGGAACCTGGGGTATAATGGTTATAGTTAGATTTTTTCAAGTTTTGAATATATTAAAGATAAATAAATCAACTTTGTTATATATTAAAATATTTTTTGAAGTATTTACTATAAGGAAAACTTAAGTTTTACTGCAAAAGTATAGATTAACAGGACGAAATTATTGTTCTGTGAGAGTGTGTCGTAACCTCACTATGTCATTTATGCAGGGCATAATGGGGCACCACAGAAAACTTGTCTATTTTTAAAAAATTAATATTGAACATTGCTTAAAAGTGACTTAGAACATATAATATAAGTAAAAATACATTGTTGCACTTTTAATTTTTAATTTTTTATTAATAATTCTATATGTGATGCTGAGTGATACATTATACAAGGTACTGTTATTATACTGTTATTATATTGAACATAAATAAAAATG